TTTTTCTAGGTTTCATCTGACAGCTTTTCTAGGTTTCATCTGACAGCTTAACTCCTATAAACTGATACATAAAAGAGGCTCTTGGGTGCATCCCTCTGTATGTTTAGACAGAGATGTCCAAACAGGTACATCTTACGTGCTTTAGATCAGTTCTCCCATGGCTGAAACTTCAGGGGCAGAACCACCTGCACTTTATCTCTCTTTCTGCCTCCTTTGCATATCTAAATGGGACAATTTTGGATGGCATTATGGAAAGCAAGCTAATATTTGGCATCCAGTAGAGGGAAAACAGTGACAGTTCAGATCAAAGCAGCAGTGATATTTAATTCTTCCAATTTATAGAAAGGCATGTTGAAAGCAGAGCTGGCTTTGAAAGGTAAATCCTGTATTATAAGTTAGTCACTAGGGGGAGCTTCCATCTCCTTTTTCATGTTTTAGGGATAGTATAACTGAATTCATTTAAAAGTGTGATGTACCAGCCCACACTATATACCAGGGTTACAACTCAGATTGCCTTCACCAGGGCTTCTGGGTTACCTAAAAAATCAACATGATCCTTAATAACATTTGTTAATTGACTCAGATAATAATGCAGTGGCACACTTATGGATCCTGATGAAAAGTGAAAGAGGAAAGTGCAAACTAATTGCAGGTGAACATTAAGAACAAAAAAATCATGATCACAGAAGATTTACATAGCTTTAATGTCAACAACAAGTTGAAATTGTGAAAGGTTTTGCTTCCATGGGTTCAGTCATCAGTTCAAAGGGAGGCTAGGACCAAGAAATTTGAAGAAGAGTGGAACTTGGAAGGGCAGCTATGAAGGAACTAGAAAAGAAAATCAAGTGTATTAATTTTCACTGGAGACCAAGGCTAGGATTATCCATGCCATTGTATTCTTGATCTTGGGTGTGAAAGCTGGACAGTGAAGAAGGCTGACAGGAAGAACATTGATGCATTTGAAACATGGTGCTAGAGGAAAGCTTTGTGAATATCCTGGACTGACAGACAAACAAGTGGGTCCTAAATCAAATCAAGCCAGAGTTTTCCCTAGGAGCAAAAATGACGTGCTTTGGATACATCATGAGAAGACAAGACTCCCTGGAGAACATAATCACGGTAGGGAAAATTGAAGGCAGAAGAAGAAAAGGAAGACCAAATATGAGATGGATTGACTCCTTAAAGGAAGCCACAGCCTGGAATTTTCAACAGCTGAACATGGCTGTCATGGATAGGAAATTCTGAAGAGGTTTCATACATGGGGTCAGCATAAGTCTGAAATGTCTTGATGACAAATAACAACAAACATGGACCAGCACTTAAATCACTGCTTCTGGATCTTAGCATATTAAGTAATTAGAAACTGTTGCTTAGGGTAGTCTGATGCCATGGAGAAGAGGGCTCCTGAACATTTAATAGTTCTACTAAACGGGGGATATCAACAAATGTCACTAATATTTTAGCTTACACAGCCAAAATGGCACATGTACAATAGGAAGGTATCAGTTGTGTACATCATCATTGCATTTATATACTGCCCTGATGCAAGAAATAGCTGTGCCTTCCTCAGCTTGGTGAATTTTACATGTATTGGACTGTAACTCTGATAATTCTCTCCTGGCATGGTCACTGGGAATTATAGGAATTGCAGTCTGGGAATTATGGGAGTTGCAGTCCCACATACCTGAATGTGTGGGACTATACGATAAAATGCAGAACTCATATAGACTTCAGACTTTTGAAATAAAATTGACGTCCTTCCATTCTTACACATTTTAATTAGTGTTCTTTTTTCCATTGACTTCATTCATTTTTTGATTAATGTGGCTTTTTATATACATATCAGCTCAAATGGCTTTGTTTTTAAAAAGTCTCAAGAGGATCACCAAACTAGATAAAGTCCTACCATCAGACTATGAGCTTCCTGCTTTGAGTTCCACAGTCTTGGGGTCAAACTACATGTTACTTTAAAGATGTAGCTAGCAGCAATGACTTTTTCCTTTTTTTACTCCTAAGTAAACTCGGGAGAGCTAGTCTAGATCAGGATTCTGGTATGGGGAGGAGAAGGACATCCCTTGACCCCCTCTGTGGCCTCATGAAATAGCATAGGTTGATGCTGAAGCATCATTATTATTATTATTAGAACATTTCTATGCCGCCCCTTGCCGAAGCCTCGGGACGGCTTACAAACACAATAAAATACAAAAATAACAATATAAAATTAAAATTAACAATATAAAATAAATAAAAATATAAAATATAAAAGAAGTCGCCCTGGCCAGATAAATAAGCAAATATTGTTAACAATTAAAGTGACGTTTAAATAAAAAGGTCTTCACCTGGTGCCGAAAAACAAGTAACGACGGAGCCAGGCGGACCTCTCTGGGGAGCGCATTCCATAGATTGGGCGCCACTGCAGAGAAAGCCCTCCTCCGAGTACCTACCCTCCTAATTTCTTTCATGGAGGGTTCCCGGAGAAGGGCCTCTCCCGCAGATCTCAAGGGGCGGTTGGGCATATATGGATGTAAGTGCTCCTTCAGGTAACCAGGACCCAAGCCATTTAGGGTTTTATAGGTAATAACTAACACCTTGAATTGGGTTAATGAGTTGTCTGCCCAGTCAGGTGGTGAACATGACTAATTCCCTTTCACTTAGGAAGAGTACTCTGCTCTGAGTAAACACTAGCTCAAGGTGCTTATGTTGTATTTTCTTTTAAAAGCAATGTCTCATATTTGTACTTTTCTCTCTCTTAAATCTTTAATTTAAAATTCCTGAATCTGAGGTGTTGAAAATGCCTGGTTCATTAGAATTCACAGTATACACCACCTAGGTGTCTAAGCTGCACTCTCCAACTGGTAAAGAAAGACTTGGCTAGGAATTCTTCCTTGGATAAACTCTGGAAGTCTGGATTTCTGTTTCCAGGCAGGTCTGTGTGGTTTTGAAGGGGAAGGTGCTAGCAGCATTTTTAGAGTGCCTCTCAAGCAATTCTCCTGGACAGTGCTAGCTAGATTGTGTGTCTGATGGCAATATATACATCATCCATGTAGTAAGCCATTTGCATGAAGCACCCATTGCAATGTTGAGACAGGCTTTTCCATCTCACTGCACACTGCGCGCGCGTGCGCGCGCGCGCGCACACACACACACACTATATATATATCTATATCTATATCTATATCTATATCTATATCTATATCTATATATATATATAAACTTGGTACCGATAATAAGAAACTTGCTTACAAAGTGTGTTGGACAATGTGCAACAATTTTATGAATCTTTCATGCGGCTGAGTTGGAACACTCTTGCACAAGCAATCTGATAAAGGCAGATTGTTTAGCCTTGAATTCTTTGGCAATTGCACACTTGTTATACTGTTGCATGAGTGTGTGTGTGTGTGTGTGTGTGTGTGACCTCAACTATATTAGACAGTGACTGAAAAATGAAACAAGCATGTTTTTCTAATTTTCTTTAACAGGTTATATTGCCTTCCTGTGCCAGTCTTCCTGTGTTGATATAGAAAGTATGACTAGGAAATAGCTGCTCTTTTTAAAAGCATAATCTGGGACCACCATAAATTGTGTCCAGGACTAATCTTGTGCTGCCAGCTGCTGAATCCTTTTCATTTTATGACTTCCAATTTGAAGCAAAGAGTGAATAATCGATCTGCAATACAGCTCTCAATTTATTATGCCATAAATCTATCAAAGAGAAATCTATTTATTTCCCCCTCCTGGAATTCCATACTGCTTGCTATGCATGAACGGTAGCAGGGGTGTGAAAGGGATGAATGTTCAGCTCAGAAATCTACATTATCTTAGTGCAACAGTCTGCTTTCTGGCAATATTTTTTCTTATCTTTAGATTAATGCAAAGGTTAGTGAAGTAGATTCTGGGAGTGGCTGGTTGCAAAGTTCTCATTCATCTCCATAGTACGGTATAGCATTGTCAAGTGTCCTATATCTTAAAGGTTTTCCTAAATTCCAGGATATTGCTGATCCAAAGAAATTATATTATGGAACACTCCAGCTGTGCGTATGTCTCCTTTCATTTTCTATATTTTATTCTGACAACCCTCAGCTGTATCAGCAAATTATCAGCATCTGAGACAAGAAGTAAATTCACCAACTTGAGAGACAGGAGTGAGGAAATTTTCCAGTTTTATCACTCATGGGGAAATATTGGCAAATACTGTGATCCTCAGCTTTGTGGGTGGAGAAAAAGCTTGAGATGAACAAGATTAAAAGCAGGAACTGGCAGCTATCTGAGCAGGGAAATCAGTTCTCTTAGTGAAGTTAATTTTGCTCTGTGGCACTTAAATGAAAAGCAGTTTCTGAACTAGAAAAGTGCACAAGTACAGGGAAAGCAGAGACCATGACGAGTCCATTAGCAGGCGGGGGGAATGCAAGTGGAGTCTTTGAGTGACAGTCCAAGGAGGAGGCAGTCTCCACCTCCCTGGAGAGTCTCTGGTGTGTCAGAAACACTTTTACTACAAGCCCACTGACATACCAGCCAGGACCGCAAATTGACCAGAGAGACAATCCAACTGGATCTGTGTTTTGCAATCTCCTTTGTATTCTATAGCAAGCCCTGCCACCAGTGGTTCCAATTGCAGCTATAAAGAGAAAGGGGTTTATGTACTGGATTCAGACCAGGCAAGGCAGGCAGAGAGCAACACAGGTTCCACTCTGCAACAGCTGCCCTGGGAAGCCACTGACGACATCCACTGGCACACAAGAGCTACTGAACCTAAAGGGAACACCATCCTGTGCCATCATCTGGCAAGAACTCTAGAAAACAGTTGGCATTTCTCAAGAACCCCCAACAAAGGTAACCAACCCTCACCAGCATCCAAGTGGAGATTAACAGCATCTTTAACAAATCATTATCCGAAGGTGGCACCCATCGAGACTCATCGGCAGCACTCAGGCATCAAACCCCTTCCTCCGAAACATTTATCAGCATCGAAGAAATTTACCTCTCATCACCTGAAAGGTGTCATGGCTCTGCTCAAGCTTTTTCTGATGGCTTTCAGCTTTGTCTTCTGGGCAGCAGGTCTGACCATGCTTACCATAGGTGTCTGGGCCAAGATTTCACTGGGCACCTATTTGGTGCTGTCCACCAATGAATATCCCAACACCCCCTTCATTCTGCTGGCCACGGGCACTGCTGTGATTGTGTGGGGCTTTGTGGGTTGCTTTAGTGCTGCCACAGAACATCGTTGCCTCCTGCGCACTTACGGGAGCTTTCAGCTGGCTGTGTTGGTGGCTGGTTTAGCAGCGGGGCTCTCTAGCTTGTTCTATCGCAAGGATATTGCTGAAGGTTTCCAGAATGGGCTGCGGGAAGCCATCCGTTCCTACACCGAGGATGAGGAAAAGGCAGAGGCTCTGGATTCCATCCAGCGCATGTTGGACTGCTGTGGGGTAGAGAGTTACCGGGACTGGTTTTCCTCGCCCTGGTCAATGGAGCAAGAGGCACCCAATGGCTCGGTTCCTGTGAGCTGTTGCAGGACACGCAAAGGCTGCCTGCACAGTCCTCTCCCAGCAGATGCCCGGGGCATCTTCCATGAGGGATGCTTCAGCAAGGTGTATGATTTCGTCAGTGACAACGTGTTCTACATTGCCACAGCTGCACTTGGACTGGCACTCATGCAGGTCGTTGGCATCGTCCTGTCTTGCCTCCTGGCTTCCCGAATTCTGCCGCATGCTGAGCCACAGAGAGGAGCCATTCCACACTGAACACGGTGTGTAACCTACCTGGGCAAAGCCATAAGATCTTTCCCTTCTCCAGCCTCTCTTCACAAGGTACTGTCATTCCCTTCCATCCTCCAAACCTTCTCTCACCACCAGCTGGACATGAGACCCAACCCTCCTACCACACTTGCCTCACATGCTGTCATGGCACCTCGGATTTTGCCGTCCCTCTGACTGGGAACTCTCAAAATTGTTATTGATTCTTCACGGCTTGCTTGCTGTCTTTCATGATGCTATTGGTGCTACAGTGTCAGAAACCCACCTTGTATCTCCCTATTTCTTGTTGGCTGAGAAAAATACCTGTTTTTTTCCTCTTAAAATATTTCATCACCTATCTCTGGATTGGACCCACCTACCTCTAGACTGGCAACATCACTGTACTTCTGTCCTTGTTAGTTTTGCCCACTTTCCTGAAAATGAAGGAGAAAGGATGAGCGGCAGATAGCCTACAGGAGACAGATTTGTATAGTAAATTTGTGTCTGTATTTAGAATGAAAGTGGGAGTGTGACATGAAAGGTCACCTCAACCTGAGTGGAACGGAAGAAATCCTAAGAAAGAAAGAAGCCAACGTTATTAACTCTGTTATTTGACTGTGGAGGACCAGATGAGGTGAGGTGTATTTCTTTGTGATGCAAGAGATCTTTGATGCTTTATAAAGAAGCTGATCTTGAAAAATAATTGGCAATTTCATCTTTGAAACTGTGAAAGAGAATCTCAAGAAGCCCTTTAATTCTTGGTAAAGTCAGTGAAAACCCAGAAAACTTCAAGGAGTGTTATTTCTGTACAAAACTGCAGTCAGAAACAATGAGTTTATACCCTTGAAGCACCTATGTTTTTTAAAAAAATGTGTTTATATGTTTCTCCCTTCTGCTTAGGCATTTTGATGTTTTGCATCTTCTTTTTAAAGATGGAGAGAGCTAGAGAAAAATGGAAAGTATAAAAGTCTTTGTCAGAACTTGCAGTGTTCTAGATGTCACGATTTTTCAAAACTCCCAAAGTCTTACTTGATAACAGCCAGTGTTTTACGTAGTTGCAATAAACAAATGTTAGATCAAATTTCAGCTGAGGCTGTTAACTTTAATGGGAAAGAGATGAAGGGTGACTTAAATCCATTAAACAGATTTTTTAAAAAGTTGGCTGGCTGGGAAATAAGCAGTAATACACAATTCTTGTAATGTAGCAAAACATCTCTGTGTAAGATGCATAAGAATTTTTAAACAAATGAGATCTTATTATTCCTTCCTCACTTTGTGATTTATAAATTCATCTGTTATCCTTCTGCCTCATTTCCACAAGATGTGCTCTTGTATAAAATCTGCAGGCTGGGATAGAAATACTGTGTGGAAGTGACAGCTGCAGCATATTGATTTTGTTTTAGTTTTCTTTTTGATCAACCCAAGGGCCAGGAAAAAAAGGATTCACCTGAAGTCTTTAGTGGGCAGGGTAATGATGTACTTTCAAAGCCTTTCGGAAAGTGTGTATTGGTGCTCCCAGATGGAGGGTTCCTACCGCTACCAGTGAAAGGAGTTTGAGCAGCTACAATTCTATCTTTTCCTACTTACCTAATTTTTTCCCTGATAAGGTACAAGATGGAAGAACCAGTAAGAAAATGCAGAAGGGTTTCAAACTAAAGACAGCATTGACTGGATGCCCATATCCCTTGGTGTGATGTAAGATTTCTTGAATGAGGCAGGGCAAATGAAAGTACAAATACTTTTTGGATGGATAAGAAAACGTAAGTGGTTAGTACAGTCAATCTGGAAAGAGGAGCTTTAGGAAAGGGAAGAAATATCACAGATTGTTCAATAGGCCAAACTGCACAAAGCAGTGATTTTAACAACTATACTTTTCAGTTCAACTAACAGAAAGGCTCACTGGCATTTCATAATAATTCAGGATGAGATTCTATACACACCTACCTGGAAATAAGACCTATCAAAGTCAGTGGAGCTTCCATCTCAGTAGGTGTAATTGAGCTGCAGAGGCTATTGCATGTGATGCTGAAGTAAAATGCAAATAATATGGGAGAAAGGGAAAGGATAGCTATAACTGTCCACTATAGATTCTGTACCAGTTCCTTCGCACAATTTAAAAGGATCAGAAAAATTCTTCAGACTGCTGAATACCAAGCTGTAATTGTCACTTTAGTGATTAGGGGATACATGAATCCTGGCAAGTTTATGTTAAGAGACTAAATTCACTGTTTGATGATGGTGGTGGTGATGGTTTTTATTAATTGTAAACTGGTGGAGGATAAAAATCATTGCATGCTACCCTTGATTAAACTGATGACTTAGCAGACTTCTTCAGAGGCGATCCTGGCTGACTCCCCTTTCTGTAAAATGACACAGCTCTACATACAAATGAATATATTGTAATCTGAAATGTGGGAAATGCCATCATTTCTAAGTAATTTGAAATGAGAAAATTCATTTTTAGGGATTATATTGGGCTACAGTTTGGCTGAAAAGATCATATCAAATTCTTTCCCTTTGAAAAGCTTCTAAAAGTATACCTAACTATACAGACAATCATTCTAGTCACAACCTGTTCCCTTGACAACCTAATACTCTTTATGTCTATTAAGAAGAAAATCCCACTGAATTAATACAATTTACTACCACTTAGGTACCCAGGATTGCAGCCTTTGTTTCTACTATTTTTACTCATGAATAAATCCCATATACCTAGAGGTCTTCAAAAGAAAAATTGTTTGACAACATGTCAAACTATTCTGCTTGAGGATCCCATGTTTCTGAAAAGCTCCTTATGGGCATAAAATCCACAGCTTTAGGACTTTAAAGGGTAAAATTCTACCTGCTCTTACCATGTGACATCTACTACGTTATCTTTGAGTATGTCTGCTATGATCGCACACTGAATTGGACCCATGATCTGCTGTCTATGGATGGAAGGGCTCCATTCATCCAAGGTGCCTCAGCCTGGTGGTCAAGGATTCCCCCTCTCTTACGGCATAGCTTAACACATGCAGCAGGGACTTTCTGTATGGCTTTTTCAGGTCTTGTTGGGAGGAGGGGATGGGGAAATGCTGGCCCTTTGGCCAGGCCAGTTGCACACCTAAATCTTGATCCAACCTGCTACACTTGGGGAAGTAACAGATTCCAGGGGCAAACACAATATTGCAAAACACCGAGTTGTTGTACTAGGAGAAAAGAAATCAATATTCTATCAATATTCCATTTTCCCTTTTATGTCTTCTGAGCTTTTTACATCACAGTGTTCTTCAAAGGTGGTGCTTTCTTCTACCTTGTGCTATCTTCCTGGCAGCTAGGTCCTTAGGCAGCTAGGATCTCCAAGGATCCCAAGCACACAGTTTCTGCATAGGTAACTCTCAGAAGATGAACATGTCTGGGAGGGCACCATTTGCCAATATGGGTCTCTCCATCAATGTTCCCTGGAAAATCTTCAGAATTGCATATGCTCATAAAAATGACACTTCCATGGATGAAAAAAATGTAGTATCTCAAACTGATAGGATCATGGAGAAAAAAATGCCACCTGATGAAATATCCTTGTTGAAAACTTAACTATAGAATAAAACGATGTTGTGGGGAAAGGAGGAGGGTGTATGGGGGATATTAATGAATTCATAAAGACGGGAATGTCTTCTTGAGGCTATAAATTTTTTAGAAAATGAAAATGTGACAAAGAGAGAATGTGCAAAATGCAGTACAACAAAAACATAAAACTTATTCTGACTATTTGAATTATATCTATATATCTCTATCAATTTCTGCATATCTACTGGAAATTATCTAATCTCAAAAGCTTTCAAGAAAGGTTGCATCAGTTTTGAACCTGAACGTTTTTCTGAAATGAAAATACTTTTATGAAAATTATTCCGTATTGCTCAGTATTGTATGCATTTGTTTATGACTCCAACATTTATATATATATATAGAGAGAGAGAGAGAGAGAGAGCGCGCGCGCGCGCGCGCACTTGTGGAAAGTGCAATGCAGTGTTGTATAATTACTTGGTGTTGAGGAATAATTTTTTTTTGTAAATACTGAATTTGAATCATGTATACACCCAAAATGAGGTAGACACAGGTAATCAGTATGCTCGATTGCAGTATAATTTGTTTTCTACAGCTGCCATCACCGACAAGTCTTGTGTGTGTAAAATGTAATAGAGACTTGATATAAAGCTGTAGTAGAGAGAACTTTATATAAGCAAAGTCTCGTAAGGATGTTATGTGCCCTCCAGTCATCTCCAACTTCTGGCAACCCTATGAATGAGTGCTCTTCAAAATGTCCTGTCCTTCACAGCCCTGCTCAGCTCTTGAAAAGTCAGGCTGTGGCCTCCTTTACGATTTCCTTCCATTTCATACTTGATCTTCCTCTTCTTCTGCCTTCAACTTTCCCTGGCATGATTATCTTTATATTTTTCTCTGTATTTGTATATATCTTGCAACACAGTGTAGTCATAGACATGTAAATCTTAGAAAATCAATGAATGTATAAAAGCAGAATGCGGGAAATGTGAATAGAGGCTTGCTTTGTTTATGCATGAAAAATGCATGTTTAACTACCTATTTAGGAATGAGGGAAGCACAAAACTCATGTTACTAAAAGCAAATGCATAAGGTGCCCTTTATATTCTTCCACAATTTTGCACGCCGGTCACATGCATTTCTCTACGGCCTATGCCCATAATGTTTGATTAAATCTGATACCTATTACATTATTTCATATTCATGTCCTGTTAAAATCAAATCATTTTGAAATGCTGTATGCCAAGTTTACCCTTAAAATCGTCTGGAAATAAGCCAATAAAGCTTTGAAACCTTGCACAGGTCACTTATCCATTTTATTGAAATTGCTACCTTTGAAAAGGCTGCAGTGCACACTGGGTTTAAAGACAGAACATTCACAGGGTAAAAGCTTTGTTTGAACTGCATTAATCAGCTAGTTAGTTAACTCCAGCTTTCTAGATACTGGAACTATAGCTTGAAAACACACA